GCCACTTCCCAGCCAGAGCTCCGCCTCCGCCACTGCTGGGCCACATGGCGGGGTCCCCCAGAATAGCCCTCCGGGTCTGGCACAGCTCCTCTCCATTACAGACAGACCTTGTTTTATTGTGCTTCACAGATGTTGCATTTTGTACAAACTAAAGGCAAGACCCTTCAGCAGCAAAAAGGTTACAACTCGCTTTACTGTGACACTCATTTTGTTTTTAGAGGTATCGCTGGAACCGAGCCAGCGATACCTCTAAGGTATGCCTGTATTTGCACAGGAGCAGATAGACGGGGTCTCTCTCGACAAATATTTAGAAAAAGGCATTCTTTCCCATATTCAAATATATATTAATATTTGGGTAAATATTAACTTTTGCCATACTGGATCATGTTCTATCTAAACTCTTGCACTGGTCTCTTAAGTCAGGGTCCAATTTTTAAATTTTAATCGCCTTCTCCTCATCCACTGACAACAGCCGCTGATGCTGAATAAACCAGATCAGAAACAAATGAGACTGCAGGATCCATCCTCCTAATTTGCTTTTGAATTCTCCCTGGAGTTGATAAATAAATTACTCTGTATGACCTTCTGTCACCTTCTCATGCCCAACCTCCCCTTTAAAATACAGACAATATTTACTCAATAGATATTTGTTTGACATCTTCTGGGTAACGAGTCATGTGTCAGGCATAAGCAGGATAGAACAGTGAGTAAGCTTTTTGGGTGCAACTTTCGAGGCAAAATGGACCCCATACACAAATACCTTTAATATTTGATGAATAGTTCATATTTGACCAAGTGAGGATCAAAAGATAGTGATGCTGGCGTTTACTGGGGGGGGAAGGGGTGGGAAATAACTTCACTTCAGGTGGGTCACTGCATAAAGCTCATAGCCATGGTGACATTCAGTTAGAGCTATGATGTCAAGCACATTGCTCATTACTTTGCAGCCCTCATCTCGCCGAATCCTCCCTTGAGGTGGGCCCTTCTTTCCCCATTTTACAGATGAGTCAATGAAGCTCAGATAGCTTAAGTAATTAGTCCAAAGGCACATAGCTGCCGGTTGGCGAGGCTGAAACGTGACCCAGATGCCATCGTGGGTCCCATCTAACTTGGCTCCTGGGTGGTGGTCGGCTTTTGGACGAAGGTATTGGGAGAAAAGGCACACAGAACAGCATGTGCAGAGGCATGATGGCATGAAAGAACAAGGCAGAGCTGTTTGATACGGCTGCGTGATCAGCCCCGTGGTTCCAGGCCTGAGTGAAATCCTGGTTGCCCATCCCCCACTCCCCCCATTGCATCAGCTGTGTTCCAAGTCCTGATGGCAGAGGCCGGCCCTGCCGTCTGACCCCCAACAGACATTTTCTCTTCGTGTTGGAAATGTTGAAAGAGAATTCGAAACACATCTCTCAGGAGGCCCCGCACCTCGGTCTCTGGGATTAGGGCTTTATGCCGCTCCACGAGTGCTCTCGTGAGCTGCTGCCCCTCGGATCAAAGCGAAAACAGCTGGAAGCCACTCCTACCAGCCTCCTTAGCGTGTGACATCCCTGCCACCGTTTTAAGGACGATGGTACTTGGGGTTTTGCCAGTCAGCGCTGAAAAGCTCTGAGAAGCGCACTGCAGTGTTCTCCAGCAAGCCAGTGTCGCTGCCGTGCGCGCGCGCGCGTGCCTTTGCGTATGAGTGTGTGTGTGTCGTGAAGTGTCTTCCCTTGGCTCACTATGCTTGGCTTGCGTGTGGGTCTGCTCTGCTGTTGAAACCTGCTGGCATCCTTTGGTAATCAAAGTTGTGCTTCTGTTAGAACCACAGCTCCATTCAACGGAGGAATTCATTGGTCCTGTGCCAGGATCATAAATCATCTATAAACTCCATGGGGAGACATTAGGGCACGTTATTAATTACAGCTACCATCCTTTGGAAAACATGCATTCAGAAACACGCGTTTTTATATTTAAGGTCTCCTGCGACCCTCACAGAAGCCTGTGAGGTGTGCAAGCTACACATGACCCCTCGTTTATGCCTATTTTAATGCTTAGGGACTTTAAGTTAGTTTCCCATAATCACATATCTGTGAGCTTTCTTTCCTAGCTGTTTCACTCAAGGAACATACCAAGAAACTTCTGGAGAATTCTAGGATCTTTTTTCTCTCCCCTTGCGAAGTCCTTGCTCTCTGGGATAACTGTATGGACAGTGACCAGAAAGCTGCTGGGAGTTTCACGTTCATTCCTAATGTGGGGCTTTGCTTCGTCTGGATATAATTTATGCAAATATACACACAGATGCATGTACATGCACACATATGCACACATGAGCACACACATGTGCAAACACTAATGCATGCATCACACATACATTCATGTACACATGTGCTTATGCACGTGGGCAGGGTGTACACAGGGACACATGTATGCACACACATGCATGACAAATTTCACACATACATTCATGTACACATGTGCTTATGCACATGGGCAGAGTGTACACATGTATGCACACACATGCATGACAAATACACACTAACACACATACGCATTCACACACACAAAACACATGTATACACATATTTTTGCACACATACACACATATAATTAGAGATATTCTCCTACATTTACCATGAACAAGTGGCGTAGAGAATTACCAAATATACAGAAGAACTTTTCTGAACTCGTTTGTGTCGTCCACCTCCCCTAAGGTCATTTGGCTATAACCTAGATTGAAACCGTGACGGTCTGTGCCCGTACCCTTATCGATCATATATTTTAAGCAGCGGATTTCACCCCCTCCCCCAGGGCAGGGAGGGCCATGTGGTTTGACCGAACGCGAACAAACTCCGACGCTCATATCTGTCTAGGCCACTTACATTAAACCTCAACCCTCTTTGCATTTCTGCGCCCCCCCTCCCGAAAGGGTGGGAAGCCTGGTACCCAGCACACCTCCACGTCCTGATTCGGGGCCAGCACCGAACCCCAGCCTAATTTTCTCGGCCTGATCGACTGCCGTGGTCTCCAACCTCCTTAACCTCCAACTGTCCTCGGTTTCCGTGTTTTGGATCTCGTGACCAGACTAACTTCGCCAGTGCCGGGGTTGGTGTGTCTGCATGGGGAAATGCACTAATATGGACGTTTCTCTTTGTGTGTGCGCCCTTGCAGTGTTGTTTACCAGGATGGATTTTATGGTGCAGACATTTATGTAAGTATCCATTAACGTGCATGCCATCCCTGTTTCTTCCCGGAGTCATTCCTTTTACAAGTTTGCTGGGAAGCTCTCTGCTCGGGGCCATCCGTTTCCTCTTCCGGGTCTGTGGGAAGGAGTCCGAGAGACGCGCGAGGCAGCAGGCCCTCTGCTCACGATAGCATCCATCACGTGCCCCTGAGTGAGTGGAATTAACTCCTTGATCAACTTCAGAATAGATGCAAGCACCCCACCACATCCCCCAAAAAAGGTGGCGTTTCTCTCATGTCATATTAAGACCCACCCCCGTGCAAAAAGAAATTCTCTCTAAAGTTCTCAGTATGGTCTTCGTATTTTCCGTATAATATTTAAGATAACAGCTGTAGTTACCTGCCGCAGAGGGTTAAAAGATATTTTCATGGCTGATGTTTTCATTGTTTTCTTAGAAATATATTGAAAAGCCCTAGAAAGATCTCTCTCTCTTTCTCTCTCTCTCAATGATTTCAGCAAGAATCATCTCCTGACAAAATCTATGCCACCTTGAGCTTTAAACCTTTATTTTCTTCAACCCCTTATTTCTCCATTGCCCTAGAACAGTTACCTGACTTAAAGCTGTTGGTTAAATTCGAGATTGTTTGTTAAATGGGACCACTTTGTTAACTTGTTGACTTTTAGAAAAGAATAAGATGTTTCTCGTTATAGGGACCATAATCAAATTTACCTAAATTGATCTAGAAATAGTTATTCTCTCGCTTTATGATATTAGCAGCAATGTTATGAAAATGACTTGGAATAAACACAATTTAAAATAAATGGTCAAGATCGAGGGTATTTTCTAAATCCCATACTTTTTATTACAAGGTGACCTCAAATAAGTTCACTGGGATCATACTTACTGTTTTAAAGACTAGACAACAAGAAAAATAAAAACATATTTCTAATCGAAATGATGTTATTTACTAGAAAATGGGACACTAGCCATTTACTTTTCTTCCCTTAAAATTTCAAACAATTACAATTTTGAGACATAGTATTAATCTCCATTGGTGACGAATTTTGTCGGGTTATATTATTACTGCATCAAGTACATTTATGACAATCCGTAGGTTTCCATAAAAAAATGAACGAACAACCTACGTGTCTTTTATCTACCCAGTGAACAACCAATTTCCTTTTTCATGTAGCTTTCACGTCCTCTTTTTTCAAACTTTCAGTTTATACCATTTTAACTAGAGAGGCAGGCTGGGGTTGAGCAGTCTGGATCTCATCCATGCTAGATGCCCAGTGAACCCCGACAGCGGTCTGCACGCTCCCCCTGTGTATCCTCTGGGTGGACTTGCATATAGAGGAACTAAGTTTAAGGATCTTTTATTTTTAATATGGGACATGGAAGGGAGTAGAGAAGGGGCGAAGAAATTAGAAAAAGGAAAGTCCACCCAAAAGAAAACTATCACCATCAACACCCACCCAAAGGAAAATGTGGATGTCACTAAACCTAGTTAAAAAGAAACATGATATTAGCTACCATTTATTAACTGTTCACCTCTCTGTGAAATGACAATCATTTGTTGAGTTATTTGTCAAATGACAACAATGGATCCATTTATTAATTTGTGCTGTCCTATGGAGATTTCAAACTGGCATCTTTTTCTTGCCCCATAGATTTTTGAATAGCAGGAAGTAGAAATTGCCTGAAAGCTAAAGGTGTGAGATTTCACAAATAAAGAAAATAATAACTGGAGTAGTTGACAGAGTATGTTCAGATTGGTTGGGACAAATAAAAATCCCCGAGAACAAGGCAAACAGAGAAAGCAGAGAGACTCAGAAGACAATAAATACACCAACATCCACACAAAGAAGGAACGAGAACTTCCTCTCAGGGAGGAAATCTCAAAAAAGTTCCTTTGTGCTCTCAGTTCTTTTAGGAGCTTTTATTTCCTACCAATTCATCGTATATAGGCAAAGCTCATCGGGCCCAGCAGTACGTCCCCTACAGGTGTCTGGGTGAGTTTAGTTGAAGGGCATTACGTCAATAGCATCACGTCCTAAATTTCCTAGTGTCTAAGTTTAGAAAACTCTTCGTCTCACCCTTTTCAAGCCACCCAAGTAGCCCCCTCAAAATATATATATCATTTTCCTGCTGTTCATTTTATAAGGACAATAAGATTTTTCAGGGGGCAGTTCCAAATAGGCCATTAGGTGATAGAAAAACCAACTAGAATATGAACTTTGAGTTTTATTTACCCAGTACATGTTTTTGTCTTCTTTCCAAGAAATAGTTCAGACCTTGAAGACCTTTCTTAATGTTGCACTTTGTTTAAGATGCAAACTTCGGAATATTGCTGCTGAGTCGTGCGTGCCTGTGGGGGACAGTGATGGACTGGCCTGCCACCATCCAGCAGTAAAACAAGGGCTCATGATGGCCTTAAGTTAATTTAAGGGCAAGAAAGAATAGGATGATTTCTTGTACTCTAGAGTGTACGGAGCAGGGTTCATCCTGGCTAGAAGAGTATTATAATCTCGAATGTGCTTTTTTTCAAGCTGCTTCTCCCACCTCCCTTGAGATATCGATATTTTCTGATGCATGTGCATGTCCTCAGAGCTCCATTTCTTAAAGAAATAATTATTAAACAGGTTCATAGATGAGCGCGTGAGGTTCTGTTTTATTTAAAGGAAGTGCCCCTTCAATCTCATTAGAAATAGTGCACAATAAATAGGTCTAAGGCAATTCGAAGAGGACCCGGGACATGTGTTAGACACATCAGTCACGTCTAATAGGTTTAAACCAGTTGTTTCTTTTTAATTGTATTAGGCAGAGGAATAAGCTGCTCGCTTAGGTTACGCTTACGAAGTCAAGGGGACTCTACTCTCCAGTTTTTTCTACTTGGTCGTTCTCAGCTCTGGCAGCAGCATAGCAGAGCAGCTCAACAGCAAGGTTGCCGGCGCATGCGCCAGAGGGCGTGCCCTTTTCTGTGCACGCCGCTCTCTCCCACCCCTCCTCTTCGTCGTCCAAGGTCTTCCCATCCCTCCCACCTGATGCGGGAGCCCTGGGGTGTTTCTGATTTGAAAGGCCTGCAGGCTTCCTGCCCCAAGTTCCTTCTTAAGCTGTACAGAGAAGAGAGGATGGAGGAGAGAGGGAGAGGCGAGCATAGATGCCCTAAAAGTGCTGGAGCGGGCTCATTGCTCAAGGAGACTTGTTAGGAGATGCCGTGAGCCAGCAACTAAGGTTCAAAACAACGGAAGCTCCTAAGCAGGGTCGGGCCCGGTTAGTACTTGGATGGGAGACCACCTAGGAAGACCAGGTGCTGTAGGCGTAAAAAAAAAAAAAAATGAAAAGTGAATTAGAAAGTCTTAAGTTCCGTGGACCTACAGAGCAATCCATTTAATTTAGGGCCGAAGCTGTAGATCTCATGAGGCCAGAATTGATCGGGGAGCTGAAAATAAGTATTGTTTAACTGAACTTAGCCAAGACACTTATCTTCACCCACTCCGGGCGATTTCAAAAGATACGGCATTGGATTAAAAGGTAACCTTTGACCATGGAAAGAAGGAATTGATAATAGAACTATAAAAAATGAATAGATAAACTATCAGTAGAAACTGGGGTAAGACAGTGGAGTTCTGGGCAACGGGAAGAGGCAAGAGGGAAGAGAAGACAGGGGAAGAGAGATGAGGGAGGAGGTGATAGACAAGACAAACATTAACTCATTCCCTTGTGTTCAGAGAGCCCTACGCTCCCTTAGCAGTCAGTGCAGCCTTCAGTCCGCCTAGCAAATACACCTCGACGAGATTCCGGGGCCATTTTTACATCATTCCTAAATTCTGTCATAACAAGTTCTTGGTTGACACCATGGCGAAACACAATTATTTCTGAATTCATGTCACTCTGCCATCCGTGGATCTTAAAACAAAGAGGTGTCCTCATTTCACCCACGCTCGAGCTCAGGAGGAAGTGTCAGGAGCTTGGGGAACACAGAAAGCTGCAAAGCGGAAATTCTCCAAGTAATAAAACCCCACGTCCTTAATTCCAGAGATCCTGCTTTCGGAGTGAGCCAGCCGAAGGTCGGCATCAGGCTGGTCAGTCACCACAGCGGGAGGCGACGGCCTATCAAGAGGTCACGCACCCGCCATGTGAGACCAGACGCTCAGCCCTTACATCCCTCATCATGGCCTCAGAAGGAAGGGGTCTCATCACTTTTATTTTTAGAATAGGAAACTTTTTGTTTGTTTTTTTTTTTAGAAAAGAAGTGATAAAATTTGTCCAGACATTTTCACTGACACTGGGGTTTGCGCCCTCATAATCTAGCTACAGAGGTCAAGCCCCGAGCCAACAGGATAACCCCGTGGCCCTCGCCGAACAAACTTCGACAAAGACGGGAAAAAGGAAAGGAGGAGGGTGAGAGGTGACAGAGTAATGGGTGGCAGGCCCCTGGGGAGTAAGATCTGTACCTGAAGCATTCGAATGAGCAAAGGAAACTGGGAAGAGGGAGAGAGAGAGAACTAGAACTTTTAGATTTTAACTTAAAGAGGAAGGTTAAGTGAAACCGAATGGGAAAAGAAAGCCAGACTACACAAGACAATATATATAATATGCACACAGTAAAAAAAAATTAAAAATAGATACCTCCATGAGGCAGGTCCCTGAATCTCTTTCAGTGTTCACCTGGAGATCTGCCTCGGAACTGGCAATTTTCACTTCAAGCTAGAACCGCCCGCCCAGCAGGTTAGCCGCACCCATGAATCACTCCCACGTCCACAGATTGCCTCCCGGTCCATCCCTGGGTTCTATTGAGATCTTGTCAGTTTTAGACTGGAGGGAAGTGATGACACGTTAAGTAGCTTTTCTGGACCCATGCTCACGCACGCACGCGCACACACACACACACAGACACACACACACTTTTTCTAGTCACATCTACTCAGCATAGCTTCGGTAGCACCATGTGTGCGCGCACACACACACACACACACAGACACACACACTTTTTCTAGTCACATCCACTCAGCATAGCTTCGGTAGCACCGTGTGCTTCAATTCATGAAATACGATTGTGTTCTCTCTGTTGTTAGTCGCAACTAAATTTTAAAAATACAGCTGCTACAGACCTTTTATCTTAACTGCCTCAATGATTAGGCATCCAGGTTAAATGCTCAGGTATTCTAGAGAATTCCAATCGTGAGCTCGAGAAAGAAATTCGAAATAGTTAACTCGAACCATCGGACTATGCTTGGAAGGGTAAGAAGCCATGAAAGTATCTTTTTTTTCCTCCCTTAAAAAGAAACACGGGTTATGACACAAATTCAGCAAGTGCTTATTGATCCCAGCGCCACCTCCTTGATGCCCTCAGTTACAGAGATTTACAGCTATGATTGGTCAGTAGCTCACTCTCAGGTCTTGAGTGAAGAGAAGCAAACTTGTAAATGAATTGCTCCGGAATTTCTGTCTGACTTATGCATTTTATTTTATTTATTTCATTTTTGCATTGAAAACATTACATTTCTGTTTCCTTATAGAGTAGTGTATCAAGAGCCTGTGTATGGCAATAAATTGCTGCAGGTATGAAATCTGGACTGGTGGAGAAAGTCATCACTCTGGTTGTGGGTTTGCTGTGAAATCCTACTAACAAGACTGTTTTGGGGGAGCGAGGTGTCCTCTAACATAGAAGGAAGAAAGACTTAACTGAATTTTCCAGTTTTGATGTGAATTCTTCTAGAATAGACATGCTCATCCTCCAATGTCTCCTCTTTGCTAGATCTTGAGTATATCCAAATGGGAGTCTGACTTGACTATAAATTTCTTGGCTTAAAATGTATCCGGACTCGATTAATATATGTTCAGTGAAAAAAGAATTCTAGGGTTTCATCGAACCAATTGTCTAAGAAAAATTTGAGTAGGTTCCAAGAGTCAACTGGAATGGTTAAATTAAAAAAAAAAAAAAAAAAAAAAAAAAAACCACCATCTCACTCTACATTTGACACACAAAACAAAAAAAAAAAAAAACCTCATCTGCATCTAGCATTGAGGGCCAGCATAACTAATATATCTTTCCCTGGTGTCATTGTAGCTTCTTATAAATTTATTTCACACCGACTGCTATCGCTTTCAAACCTATTTTTCACTGCCGAAGCAACTCCCGAATGAACAAATTTGCAGGAGGAAAAAGATCTACACATCCATTGGAGTATAGCTGGCTGAGTCTCCAAATTTGGTCTACAGCCAACATTAAAACTGTCAAATAAAAATGAAAGGAGAATGTAAAACTAAGGATGAGCAGTGGGAGTTTTATTACATGGGTTTCCTTATAACCGGCAATTATCATTTTTGTTCAGTATTAATTCAATTAAGAAAATACATTTTTTTACTGCAAAAATTAATCAAGTTTTAATAAAGAGTCTACTATGAAAAAATGGGTACTTGCACCAAAGAGGGAGCAAAATAATTAAAATTCCTGAGCTGAACTTTTATTTTCACATTTCAAGAAAACTTGCCACACTTCGAAAAGAGCCGAATGGATGATGCAGATAAATTAGGGAGTAATGATTTCTATTTAGGTTTTTCATTTTGCAAATGTTCTTATAACTGTTGTTTTTATCAATGAAATGTTGAGTTAATTATATATTCACCAATCCACCTGTTTTTGCGATATTCAAGTGGGATCCTTGAATAGTCTCAGAAAGAAGGTCTCTATCCGTGATTACACCCATCACCACTTTGCTAACGGGAGACACACACACCCAGTTCCACTTGCCCCCACGTCCCTGCCACACACACGCTTTACCTCTCTTCCTAAGTCAATCACCATTTGGATATTGGAGCTTCGTTTTCCAAAGGTACGCTCTAAAGTTGAAACGTGATTTACCTTGACTTTGACATGTGATTGAGATCCGTAACTCTCAACATCGCATTAGGAGTTTTCGCAAACGAAGTAACCAGCTAACTCCGTTTTGTTGAACTCAGCCTTTCCCGAAGCTCTCTTGGTCATGGAACCTTTCCTTCCCCTGCCGCTGTGGGGATCCCACCAACCACACTTTTGAAAATGCTTTTTTGGAGACTCATTAGAGGTCGTTCATTAGTAATTTCCCCCAACGGATCTCGCTAATGAAGGAACAAAGTTTCAGACCAGAAGAGCCGGTATCTTTGATGGCCCCGTCTGGTGACGGTGGCTTGGGTGGAAGAGGCAATCCATAATGCCCATTTAAAATTTCTATTTTCTATCAGGTCACATTTAGATTTTGCTGCCTAGCATGTAAAAAAAAATAAAATAAAAAAGGTATGTTTTATGAGCAGGGAGAGTAGAACTGTGTTTTGTTTGTCTCCCCTTTTTCTTTTGGTTTGGAGGTGGGAAAAATCTAACTAACTGTCAAGGATGCATTTTTGTCCTGAGATCTAAGAGGACCAGTTCCAACACGAACACGGGTTGGTGACAGCAAATGGAAGGGAGCATTTCTTTTTCAGACATTACCACAGAACCCTGCAGAAGCTCTGGCTATGCTCAGCGAGCTGCAAAATGTAGAGCAATAAAATTGATTACAGTTACCTGTTAGAAAGGCAAATTAAAGCAATTTGTATTGTTTTGATCATTTTACAGTGTATGCACACAGACACCGAGTTAACACACAACTCTGTTAGTCCCCTGATATGGATTTCATACAGAAGAAAAATAGCAGAGGAAGACAATGCAATGTATAGATATGGAGATATCAGGCTACCTAATCCTTCTCTTTTCTCAATTGTTACATATTATAGGGATCTCATAGACCGAGACTCCAACAGAGTAGCCACCAGCCCCATGTGGCTGTTCACATTTAAATTCAAGTGAACTAAAATTCAATAAATTAAAAATTCAGTTCGTTGTACCAGCCACATTTCAAGCGTTCAGTAGTCGCTCAGGACAAATGGCTACTATATCAGACAGCACAGATAGACATTATTTTCATTATCACCAAGAGGTCTGCTGGACAACAGGGAGACCTCTGATCAAGGTCACAGTCTTTCCACTGGCCCTACAGACTTTAGCAAACTACGACTTTGACTCTCGAATTGGGAATGCTTGTGAACAAATTCTTTATTAATGAAGATAAGCATCAGGGCACTGACCACTTGTGCCTGTCCTGCGTGGAAACACACACCAAGGTCTCTAAATGGCTAAGTCTTAGGCACATGTGTAGAAGATGCATCCTTCTCAAAGCTTCAGAGATGAGCACATCTGTTGTGCAGACGGATCCCAGGTGCACAGCAGATCCCGGTCGACCTGGGAGCGAGAGAGGTTCATTTTAGTCACCTTCTATTTGCACTGCTCCCGTTTTTCCCACATATCAAACTTGCTATCTGATTTCATTGACAAAAACTACTGAGGAAGCTGAGTGAGACCTACAGAGTTAAACAGAGTTCACCATTGGGATGTTGCTAGACATCTTTGCTGGGACCAAATTCAATCACCCAATCATGATTTACTGGCATGGTACTTGATGCAAATATCTTGGCAATAACTTTGTTTTCTTTTTTTTCTACTGGGAGTGAGAGAAGACACACACACACACACACACACACACACACACACACACACACACACACACACACACACTCTCTCACTCTTTCTCCACTCAAAGCTTTCAGCTAGGTGCAGCTGACACCTCCCTCCTAGCAATCAGCTAGCCAGTTCCAGCCCCCTCTTCCCTCATTAAGTTTCTTACACAAACCTGCATACCTGGGTCTTTCTGGATACATCAGGAGAGCCAAGGACAAGCAGATGAAAAGAATGGCTCCAGAAATCTGGTGACCTACTTTCCCCTCAGCCCATCAGTTGGTATCTGAGCTTGGTGCCGGTATGACAACTGCTTTGCCTTTACATAAATGCCTCAGCACATTTATCGTCCCCCTTCCTAATTAGAGAACACGGTGTTTGGAACATTTGGTGCTGTCTGGCTAAGACCTATTTTTTTTTGTTGTTTTTTTTTTTTACATTGTTTTTCAAGGGAGACTTTTTTTAAAAAAAAACTGGCTCCAAATTATTGGTGATTATCTGTCAGGATGTCTTGGATGTGTCTTCTCCGGGACTGAGCCAAAGAACGAACTTGTTTGGAGATAAATTAGCTTTTAGAATTGCTATGTAAGTGACAATAAGCTTACTGTGAAAATTAGCTGTGGTTGGTAGATGTAAACTACTAAGATCAGTTTAATCTACATTTTGAAATATGCCTTTTGTAGTTTCCCCATTCATCTATCTTATATCCTACTACTTGGTTTTTCCCTATAGTATATGGAGCCAAATATAATGAACCCCTCCATTTGCGATTCTGCTGTTAGGTACCCACTAACATACCTGTAATTTTACTGTCAGACGTCCTCCAACACAGTAATCTGTCCTGAGTTGCCCCTTTGGTGGGGGTGAGAACCTTTCCCTCAGAGGAGTATGGGACTGTATATTCTAATTAGAACCTGAATGGTCCCTATGTGATCGGTAGAGACTGGATCCTGTTTGTTAATTGTGCCGAGATCATTCGACAATGGTTGATGTATCGCTGTGGTTGGCTGAGCAAGAAGCTCTGTTATTTTCACAGTGTGATAATCAATGCTCCACTGAACACAATTCCTTTCAAATATGCCCATTTGCTTGTCCTCTGCTTAATTGAACAATTGCAATTACTGGTACATACAACTAAATGTTAATTTTTTTTTCAGATTTTTTCTCTCTTAATGATTTTATTTACAAATTGGAATACTTTATCATATTCTCCACACCAAATTTCCCATCTGAATCAGTGTGATATCTTTAGCCCAAAGACAGCATTTTTAAGAAGCGTTTTCCATTTCTTTTTCAAAATAATTGTGTAACATGTAGAAAGCTAAGGACTGTCTTCAGTTGCTTTAGTGCTTAAACAACTATATAGGCAAGAGATTACTAATAAACTTTCAGTCCAAGGATTATTTTGTTTAAATAAGTGTAAGAATAAGACAAGAGGACATTAGCTTGACCTATTTGGATGTTTAAGAAAGTAATCAAAGATCGTTTGACTGAAATATAAGTTAATCGCTAATAAGTAAAGGTAAGGTATAATCAGTTTGGAAAATCTGGAAAGTTCAGCCAAGTATCGAGAGTGTTTAAATGATCTCTCATAATCCTGCCCAGCCCAGGACGATCACCGTTAACACTTAGGTTCATGTCCTTCACAGGTGTCTGGGTTCTCCCTTGGGGATATGCTTATACCAGCTAACCTTTAACATCCAGCCGGGGTTGGTATTCAACCTCCTGTCTCTCTGGTGTGTTTTGTACTTCCGCTTTGATACTAAGCTTTCATTAACTTCCACTTTAGATGGTTAGATTTGGGTAATTGCCGTACTGGTGTGGTTTCACAGTCGGGTGTCCCCGAGTCGGGCTCCTTGGCATTCCTAAGTCCAGTTTCTCCTTGTGTTTTAGGGTGGTTATGCTGCATACCGCTACGCCCAGCCTACCCCTGCCACTGCCGCTGCCTACAGTGACAGGTAAGGGTCTTTCTTCTCGTGCTTGACGGCTACTTGGAATTTAACTTAGCTGATGAGAGACGAGATTCTCGTCCAGTCTTGGTGTACATGCATGACTGCTGGGTAGGCGGCACCCAAAAAGTTAAGTCCCATGATGAAGCAAAACACGGGGCCACGTAGAGAGAGGATGAACAGTTAAGTCTAGTTCATGCGAACCTCTTGCCCTTCTCTGCTAAGACACAAAGAAAATGATAAGCTTTGTTTGTACATAGCTCTCGTAATCCCTGCGACAGAACACCTTGCATGTTCACACGTACACTCCCCGTGCAAGCTTCTCATGGTCTTGTCCGTGAGGCTATGGTTTCTTCTAACTCATAGGAAGACAACCGGAAGATGATCCTGCAGGGTTATCTCAATTTCAAGCACCCCATTTCCTCCTTTTTGTTTTAAAACAACTTTTTACACCCAGGAAAGCATTTTTTTTTTTAATCCAAAATAAAGGAACAGGGGAGGTGTATCCAGTGTCCGATACTACTAAGATAAGCCAACTCATATTCGTAACGCACCCCACACATGAAGATTGACAGTGAGAGGGACGGAAGTGGGTTGAAGAAATGCGGAAGTCAGACCGGATGGCAGGGGTGGGGGATGCCGATTACCCAGGCTTAACAGATGACTCGGTGCCTGAAATGGCAAGCCACAGCTATTTTTGTATAGGTGCCTTGAAAAAAGAAGTATGCGTTTCCATATTGAATGCAACTCGTTGGCTCTGTTTCTCGAGGACGTAAATGTGAATGTTCAGATGCTGTGCATGCTCAAATGTCATGGAGGTTGCTTACTTTGGGTAATGACTCCTTTAATTTAAAAAACACGTTTCACGAATAAAGCAGCGATGATAACAATTTGCATGTATGGCTGAGGCATGCTGGGTCAGACAGGTAAGCAAGGCGATGGATCTGACCCCTGAAGGGGAGACGTGTCAGCAGCCACTGGTTCTCCCACCTGGCCTGTCGTGACCTGGTTCCTATCTTGGTTTGCTGTGGTGTGCTTTCTCTGCAGTTCCATTCCATTTCTCACGAATGTGTCGTTAGCTCATTGTAGCTACAGAATTCTTCTGAGGTGTAATGAAGCGAAATAAATGGCTGAACCTCTAAAAGCTGCACTTTGAAGACCCCATGCATAAACTCGTAATAAATGGCTCCTTGGCAAGGTAGCATAGAGATCTACCGTCTGGTTGTATGCAGGTTATTATTACTACATTCTTCTAAACAGTCATAAAGAGTCTCGAGGCCGGAGGGAACCTCTAGAGAGATCTAAACAATTGTCAGGTTTCAGTTATAAACACACAAATTATCCAGTTACCCCATAATCAGCCGTCAACATGCTAAATATGTTTTATGGAAGTTGCTATCTTCAATACACTCTGACACTGGATCAGGAAAATGGAGAGGGTCGATAGGGCTAATAAAAATGTCGGCCATCTTGAAATACTGGAGATCATTCTACAAATGAAAAGGTTTAATGCTATTAAGCTCTGTACGCCGAAGATTCACCGAGTATCAATTGTAATGTGGTTCGTCTACAACCCTTAATTATTTTTATGAAAATATCTCTAGATACTAAATTCTCAGACACACTCTTTGTACATAATTAGAATCCCAGTAACTTTAGCCTGCCATATAATTATAAGAATCTTCGACAGATTTATTTTATTGGATTTTCACCTTGCTTCTCAGTATCAGTGCATGTACTCCCAAGTCAAAAACAAGGTTAATTACAGAGATGTAATTTAAATTGCTTTCTGTAATAAGGCCAATCTAGACATTTGAAAAAAATAAATAATGTTGAATACTATTCTTAAATAGAATTACTTGAGAATCTGGCCATCTCCGTTTGCATTCATCTAAAAATTAAGTTAACATTTTGCTGCATTTGGGAGCATCATATATGCAAATATATGTATAAAGTGTGTTGTTTTAACACTATTAAGATTCTCATTGACAACATGTCCTACTGAAAAATTGCCCTCACTCTTGGATTGGTAAATCTTGAATAACTTTGCAATTCCCACTTGAGTGTAATAGTTTCAGTTGAAGAAACCAACTGACTGTAGACTTGTCCGTGTAATTGGCCTCTTGCTGTTCATTAAAGAAATTTGCACGTTAGGTCTTCTTGGTTGCTGTGGAAATTGATTACTAGCCCTATTTAACTTTATTATAAGCAAGATACTTGCCACTTATGGAAATATTGCATTGAGGTAAATGCAGCAATAGGTAAATTACCAGAAAACAATCTTTAAAATGTTATTCTGGTTTGATTTGTAAAGTGCAATTATGAAATGGTGGTCCTTCCTTTTATTTTTAGTAAGTAAGC